TTAAACTTGTTTCAAAATTCAATGTTTGCCTGTGTAACAATTATTTATTATTATTAAATGTATTATTACACGTATTTTGTAAGATTTGGACACCATTTGTGTCCATATTTGTATGTAATAATTAAAAAATTGTAACAGATGTAATATTAATGAGGACTAAAGAAGCTGATCTTTACAATATAATACATATTTTAAAATAATTACAAATCAATAATTAGGGTTTTTAAGATACTAACCATTTTCTACAGTGGAACTCTTCTAATTTAACCTTTTTGAGAAATATTATCTAGCGTCTTACCTATACAATTTTTTTAAAGATTGCCTATCCGTTTTAGACAGATAAAGCCGCCAATAAGGAAAATTATAGGTTATTTATAAATATTCCTAGAGATAGGTTGGATAGGGTTTTGCCATAATATTTCTGTTCAAGTTTATTTCATTTCTGGCTGGGGATATGGTTACACTTTCACTGCCACTTTACTCTGCCTGAGTTTCCGAGAAAGTGCAAATAAGCAGGTGTTCCAATAATTTTCGCCACTTCATCAAAATCAATGAGCAACATCCGGCATTTTCATTATCATTTCATTCACACCTCAGTCTCCTTACAACTCTTGGCAAACGATACATACTTACTTGTGTTAAATTCCTGAAATTTTATACATTTTAATAAGCCATTCTTCTCACTTACTACAAATATTGCATCAATTCTTATCTTCAAGCCTACTTAAGCAATTCTTTTGTCAGGATTTGTCTCCGGAACGAACAGTAATTCTGGTTAAACTTGTACAATTACAAAATATTTCGTGATACATGTCCTCAACTTTCACTACGGGTACTTATGTCTCATTTAGAAAATTTTCGAAGCTCAAAGAATGTATGTGGTGAAGGGATTCATAAAATATGATTTTACAAATCTCACAAATCTCGCAAAGCTATTTTTACTTGTAAGAACGCCGATTTTGATGTTGTTTCCATGAATTTCTGTACTTTCTCTATCTAAAGATGAGTTTGCTAAATAATTTTGCGAAATAAAAACATGCCCAGTTACTGAATAATTTTGCTTAAAAAAATCTAAATCTTTCCTACCCAAAGTTTCGAGAAATTTCACAAAACTTGACAAGTTGTGTTGCTGTTGCTATGCTCAATTTGAGAGATGTGCAAATATACAAAGGTTAACGATAATGTGCTCACTATTTCTCGGGATCTTGGTAAAATACGTAAAGTTGACAAAAGCATCTTCATATAGCTTGTTAATCGTCGGCCACTTCAACCAAACCCAAATCTGAGCAGAAGCTGAACGCTTTAATGACGAAGGATACAAAGCCTTGTTGCAAAAGAAAGTTTAGCGTCACAATAAGTCCAAAGTTGAGGGTTGTACAGCTCAAAAGTAAAAGTAAGACTTTCTTGCCAACTTTTCCCTCATTTCCGACTTCACAGCACATCCAGAAGTGTCATTACTGTGAAAAAAACTTTTCACCTTCTTCGTATTATTAAATTCTTCCTGCTCAAATATAATTGAAGCGTTCCTTGTGCCAACGGAATTCAAGGACGAAATTGTAAAAAAATGAAGGATTTAATTCCTTTGTGTTCACAGGTGATTGATTTTTTAAGCGTGCCAAATCATAAAAACCGAACAATTTCAGGAATCAATGAATTTTCCGCAATTTGTGGGCAGAGGTAGAATTTTTGTATTTAGCGTAAACCTAACTTAATATATTCAATAGAACAAATATATCACAAATTGTGTGATTTATAAGATTCAAATATATCAAATCTGCGCAAACCAATGTGTCCTACAAATTTTCCATCGTTTCAATAATGACGTATCAGTATTACTAAATTAAGAAAGTGTGGAAATTATATCAGAACACTAAATTAATAGAATAAATCAATTTTGTTTTAAGAAATGAATCTATTGATTAATGGAGAATGAGATTTTTCATGAATCCAAATATTTTGTGTTCTATTGTAAAAAAAACCTCAAATTATTGTCATGTTTTTGCCATAGTGTGAAAAATGATCTCGGTGAAAGCAAAATATGTTCGGTCTCCAAGTCTGGACATGAACTGTGAGTGCAACGTCTCCGCTTATAATTTATTGCTGTCGACAAAAATCTCCTCTCACTGTTAACCTGTCACCTTCGTCGGTGGGCTTAAAATCCTCCCACAACAAGACACCCACCTCGCTTTCTCTTGTCTCGCCGTCGTGTCCCTCTGAATTCTTAGCAGACATTATTATTTGCCATAATTACACAAGTTTCTCTTATCTGCATTAAAGCTTGAAAAATTAAATGGAAAATTTCAAAATATTTTTTAGTAATTTCGGAAATGTTAATAAATCTGGAAATATTATTTTGTACCGATATTTAAAAACTTGTGTAGCTGTATTTTTGTAGCCAAGCACTTATTGGGCTCACTTTCTCTGGTCCGCCTGTCTTACGAATTCGTTTAGCTGAAATTATCATTTGGCATAATTACACAACTTTCTCCAGGATTATGTACATAAAAGCTTGACAATTAAATAAAAGGGAAAATTTCAGAATTTTGTTAGAAATTTCGGAAATTTTAGGAAATCTGCAAATATTATTTTGTAGGGGTATTAAAAAAAATTGTCATTTTTTCCCACTTACAAAATATTGACCTCACTTTCTCTTGTCTCCGTCGTGATTTTCTCTTGATTGCAGAAAATTGTGGACGCCTCAAAATTTCAGATGTTATTAATTTCATAACTTCGAAAATTGTAAAAAAAAATCAAGAAATTAGATTTTATGTTGTAGTTTATTTGTGAAGTCTCAGATTTCCCGAACTACGTAATTTATTAAATTTTAGTAAATCTGCTAATTAAATCGATTTCATTCTGTGTTAAATATTTTAAACTTTCCTAGTCTCATATTCCCCCATGTTTACAAATAGTGTATGGCATTCCTCTATAGGGTCAGACCCATTAAGCTCTCACCGAACAAAGAAACACGATCTGGGTGTTCGATATCTGATAAAATTTGATTTATGGGAGCATTTTAGGAATCAATTATTGTCACACTTGACTCTGAACGATGTGGGTCGCAATCGAGTCAAACTTGTAACCTCGAATATATTAGTTTTTATGAGACGGAACCTTTAAATTGCGTTCAGTCGACAATAATGGATGAGTGTAAATACGTATAAAATGCTGGCAACTCGGGTTCACTGGGACGAATAGTGTCAAATTTTCAGGATAATTTTCACCACAAAGTTAAAAGTAAATATAAATTTATCAAAGCTCGAGAAATGTCTTGAGGCAAGAATAACTGGAGAATTTTGTTTAGAAAATGTAGCTGAAATTTGAGTTTCTTTCCCATCTTATGCAAATACCATTTTAACCCAAATATTATAATGGGGGTATTCATTACGAGTTATTATTGCTCGCAAAAAAAATTCACAAAAGGCGAAGGTAAAAATTCATTGGCAAACTTGCATACTTTGAAGGCTAGTATTTAGTTCACCATTAAGTTTTTTCAAGATTATGTTGCAATGCGAAACGCGTAATGAATACCCCCATTGTTTATTTTGTCGTGTGTATAACTGTTTATTAGGAAAACGTTCTCGTCAAATTTTTTGATTGAATTTGACGTTGTTAATTAATTTACACATTTTCAATTATTTTACATTAACCGGCAGATTTCTCTTGATGATTATTAGGTGCATAATAATTATATGTAGAACTAGTGTAGAAGCCCGTCAATTGACGTGCAAAATAGGCCCGTCGATAAGCCCGTTACCCCAACATTAGTGAAGTTAGCCTCTCCTGTTCTCTCTGCAGAGTGGAGAGAGAAAGGGAGAGGCTAACTTCTCAAAAAAGCCACCGACCCAGCAGCGATACACTCACCTGCTTTATATAGTTTAGATTTAATTGGCCAGCTATGCAACAAACCAATAATCTGACAAACTTAATCCTTCTGATTTGGCAGTTGAGTTGCAATTTTTCTAATAGTTCAAACTCGTACTTTTTAGTTTAAACCCTGTCTACACTTTCTCCATGAGTTTTGAGAACGACGATAAACCGACTACCCGTCGGAGTTTTCTCTTCAAAATGTGAATGTTGAGGAGTGAATTAATAGTCCTGGGACAAAGTTGAAGTCACAAATATAACTTTTTAGACAATTTATTATGATTCAATTAAAATCACTTTTACAAAGAAATTAAAGTTTTAACTAAATCAACAATTATAGAGAAAACACCAAAAAGTGTGTCTACTCTGCCAAATCTTGAGAAGAAGTTTGCTCTTTTTTAGAAGAAGGGAAAAAACACGCATTGTCTAATTGCCACTTAAAATACCTACGCGGCGCTCTCAACTCATTCTCGACTACGTAGCCTACTCTATTTCCAACAATGAGTTTAGTAGCCATTAATTAAACAGGTTTTTATTATACAGGTTTTTATTGGGTCTACAAATTAAAATTGCGTACAAACTTAAAACGACTTAAGATGAGACAAGCTTTAAACTTCACGAAGCCTACAAAAATATTTTTGAACGTTTTCGCAATCGCGATGAATTCGTGATTTTTCGAGATTGACAGACAAGTTGACAATTTCGAATTTGACAAATTTTCATAAATGTCATAATTACCAATAAAAATAAATGTCTGACATTTATGACATTTATGACATGCCAAAATGTCATGACAAATTGATAATGTAAAACTCTAGTATGCACACACTTAACGAACTTTTCGGTTGCGATTCAACTATATCGTGTAGAAATATATAGCGAGCAATAAATTAATATTCCCATAAACTTCGACCAATATCACATTTAAGTAAGTTGCAATTTTTTATAAATAATGGTCACATTTTATTGTTTGACTCGGGCTGCGAAAAATATGAAAAAAATTGTATAAAATATATGCATGAATTATATTAAATCGAACGAATTTTTAATCACAAATTTATCAATTTAAACGCCAATCATAAAAAAACACGAAATTAGCAACGTCAAAATTAAAATAGATCTTCTTATCTGGATTCAATAAAATAATTTTTTTAATTATTCAGACTTATTTCAATTACAATTCAGTAATCTATGGATCTCCTTCATTTTCGACTTGGTCCAGGTCCTGGTTTGCATCATTGCGTTTCGAAAAGTCCCTCAAAAGATCTAGTAAAATTATTAATTAGCTTACTCGCGACGACAACGATGACATATGTACATATTTTAAAAATCTCGCCAATAGATTAGCACAAATTGCCATGCTTTGAAAAATTTAGCAAATCTTGATTAATATTTCAAATTTTGATAAATGATGTAAATTTTGTGAAATTTTGCAAGAAAATCATGAAATTCTCGTAAGCAACACACTATTGGAAATATATAGTACTACTTATATTACTAAAATAATACCACGCCGTTTTCATTCATACATGACTTATCAAAGTGGTTGACAAGTAGGGTATTCCGACCCCAGGGTTTACTGGGTTGGGGTTTTGGGGTTTTACTGGGTTTTACTAGGTCGCAAATCGGGTTTAAACCCAGCGGGTTTTACTATGTTAAAGGGTTTTACTGGGGTTTTACTGGGTTTTATCTAAAATTCAAATAGATAAATGAATAGAATCAATTTGCTAGTACTTATTTAACTCGAATTATGTACTCTGATTAATATTCTGTGAATTTCTATATTTATTTCAAGTTTGCATTTATGATCCAGAAATCCCAATTTACAGCTTCACTTGGAGCTTGATCATGTGTTAATTAGTGTTTTTTTGGGTATTCCTGGCATTTTGCATTAAGTTTTACAGTAAATCTTGAAAAAATACATTAATTTAACAAATTAGTGTAACATTGCAATTTTTTACAGTTCACCCCAAACATTGAGTAAAACCTAGTAAAACCCCAAAACCCAGTAAAACCCAGTAAAACCCAATAAAACCCAGTAAAACCCTGGGGTAGTTGTTTTCGAGGTAAAACCCCGGGTTTTTCCTAACCCTGTTGACAAGTAATACCGTGAGGTAATAGGTCAAAGTTTAAAGTTTTGCCATATATATAGCAAACTTTAGGAACATCTCTGTAATTTTAATGCCAAGCGGTAACAACTTTACTACACGAGAGAGTAATACCCACGTGACTATACCAGAATCTGGTAACCAGATTTCCAACAGTGTATGAATTTTAATTTTTTTGCAAAATTATTATCAAAATTATTTCACGAAATGAAACAGCACCGTGATTTCGCTCAATCTTTTAAAAAATGTGTGCCTGTATATATTAAAATATAACTTTTGCAAAATTATATTATTTTACAAAATGAAATTTTCTCATGATTTGCCTCAATCTTGACGATATTTGTAAACTTTACATAAAAATGTATGTCCGTACCTGCAGCACTTGGAAGATTTTCTCTCTCCAAAATTTGAATAAGATTTTCCACCGTTGCGATCTCGCCGCTTTTGCGACCTAGCCACGATTCTAGCATCCATTTTGCAACATCGTACATCGTCGCGTTGCAATTGATGACTTTGTTGTTCATGGAGTACAAGTCCCGAGCCGGTATTCCTAACGCGTCGCTCACTTGTTCCCAATTGTTGAGAAAATCCTTATCTTCAATGAGCACTTTGGCGTATTTTATTATATTAACTGGTTCCCCCATTAGTATTATTTTGCTAAACTATGAAATTGTAAATATGTACGTAATTTGGCTCTGTTGATGCATACACTCTTATAAATCGAGTATTGCAATAATACCAAGCGATATTCGTATATTTATGACTCTACCAAAGTGGTATTGACATGTAATACCGTGTAGTAATAGCTGAGTATTAAGGTTTTGGTAGCAATTTTTTCTGGACAGGAATTACTTTAATACCAATACCAATACAATAATATCAATACCTGCCTGACTATACCAGATTGTTAACAGTGTCTGCGGAGATGGTGAAATGAAATAAATGTGGAGGATAGATAAGACCTTTTATTGGTCAGGCAGAGGATGTTTTTTTGAGCTGAATGTTATCCAAGTGATAATACAGATTTGATAACATGAGTCAGTTTAAGCTAGCGTAAGTAATGCCATAGGATAAGTGTAAGACGCGCTTTGATGCAATCTGGTGTTTTTTAAATTGTATGACATATGTTTAAACAAGTGCCGTGAATTCGTGCTTAATTTGGTGACGAATGGATGTGACGAAGTTTGTGCTGCTTTGTCAGGCAGGATGTTTGAGTTGAATGTTATTCAAGTGATTTGATAACGTGACGATTCATATTTATATGAGTGTCTTATCTAGTGCCATAAAATATTAGATAAGTTGCCGTGCTAATCGCTTTTATTAACAAGTCGACGCGGCATTAACAACATCCCGAGTGGTTAACAAAACTTTGCATTAATTTCAAAATTTCTAATTGGCTACAGGACGTATCAGGCATTAGTTGTAATGTTAAACAGAAATTCATTATTCATATTATAATTTGGATTTCGTTCAAATTTGTTTTTCAAATGTGTTCTAACTGCGCTCTCCAAATTTAAGGCCACAATAACAAACGTCGAAGAGTTACATACATGCATATTTACATAATTTCCAATTAGTAACAACATTACTAGTTCGTTTAAAAAATTCGGAATAAATAACGGATTCTATCTAAACCTTTAGCTCGATGATTAGACCTATGGGTTACCTTACCATGCAAACCAAAATTCCATAATTCGATCGTGGATAAACTAATACGGAATATGCAATTATTTTGCAAAGTTCAATATATCGGAAAATTGGGGTCCGAAGTCGAGGCAGCGGCCAAATTCTGGTCCAAAATAATTTTTAAAATTATTTGGAGCCATTCTAAAGCAAAGGTTTGGTCAAAACTTTAATTTCTCAAAATTAGCAAAAAATTCGCACATTTTGGCTCAAATCTCGAAAACTGCTGGAGGACCACCCCAATTTTATTACGGATTTTTGATCTACTAAATATTACGCAACTTTTAAGCCATCTAACTCGAAAATCGTTAGAGCGCGAAAAAATCACTATTTCATTGTATATATCTATCTTAATTATTACATTTCATTATTAATTAAATAATACATTAATCTTGATAATGTTATACTTGAGGATTTTTTAATGCAAAATGCATATTATTTCCCGAAAGTAATTAATTATTAGGAAAACGGATCAACTTCAGCGATAGACTGAATCCTATCTTTCGAATGTTTCTTAGTAAGACCAATAATTGCATCTTTCAAACGTGGAAAGATATCATTATCTTGTACAACATTTTCATCCCTGTCATTAACCAACTCATCAAAAAGCGTATATCGTTCTTTCAATGGAATTAATTCAAAAACTTCCCACAAAATTAAACCCAATGAGAACAAATCCGCTCTTTGGCTGTATCTTGCTGACGGATCGTGTTCCCCCCCAACTTCCGGGGCTCGATACAGGTGTGACCCAACACCTGCACTTTTTGATCCTGATCCTTCCCCTTCGAAGGGTCGGGATAGACCAAAATCACCAATTTTTACTGGCAGGACGAAACCGTCACCGTTCGAAAATAAGACGTTGTCCGGCTTAAGGTCGCGATGAATGACGCTTTTTTCTTCGTGAAGATATCTTAATCCGTTGATAAGCCCTTCGCCAATTTGGCGGCGGAAGGTGAAATCCGCATCAGTATTTTGCGTGGTTGCAGATTCCAGCCATTTTTTCAAGGAAGGCCCACAAAGTTGCATTGTGATGCGAATTATGGGGAAATTTCGCTCCACTTTGGGTCCAAATGTGTGGTATGTCAGTCTATCGAATACGGTGCCGTGTTCGGACTCGGGTAGAGAATTTTTGTACCATTCGAGAATGTTGATACGGACGGGAATTACTTCAATGGTGTGGAGATGAACAACGTTGGGATGATCCATGTCAAGCATGTTGCCTTCTCGTTCAAATTCTTGAAGGGTTGTGGGGTTGTTATCATTTTGGGCAGAGTTAGAACTGGCCAAGAAGAGTTTGTGGGCGGAAAGGGGCTTCTCGGGGTGAGCGACTTGGAAGACGAAGCCGAAACAGCCGGCACCAAGGATCTTCTCGATGGTGAGATGTTGCATGTACTGCTCAGCCATTGCTTTCTGAGGGAGAAAAGGGACAAAATTATATAAACTCTTAAAAATCCGGTATTAAAATAATACCAAGCGCTATTCATATATTTATGACTTTACGAAAGTGGTATTGATAAGTAATTCTGTGTAGTAATAGCCCAGTATTAAAGTTTTACCATATCGGTAGGAAATGGGTAGAAACCGGTATAATTTTAATACCAAGCGGTACAACTTTAATACCGAGAAATCAATTCCTGCGTGACTATGCCAGATTTCTAACAGCATAAACTAAGAAAAAATAATTTATATACCGGTAGGAATTCCGGGAAACGTTAAAGCGGTGAAAGAACTGTGAAACGAAATTTATGCAAAATTCAACGTTGATGTGTGAAATGAGATGGATTAACTGGAAATGAACCCAGTGCGATGAATCAAAGGTTCATCAACGGGTGCGTTGGTGATGATAAGTGGAAATTCGCAGGAAAGAATGGCTCATCGATAAGGGGATAAGCTTACATATATTTATGTATCTGTCACCTGATAAAATATCGTGCGGGTGATAATTATTAAAAATTGTGAGTCGAGTTATGTAATAAATGCATGGGATTCGATGTGACGAGAACGATTGTATTTTTATCTTAAAAATACAATGTTTATGCAGTAAAAATTTGAAAAACTGATATTTCTTACATTTCTTTGTGTGAAATTGCATGAACACATTTTGGATACGTTTCGTTATTCCTAGATCTGAAATTATTTAGTAAATAAAAACCTGAAAATTGGTACGTATATACTGTGAAAACGTTGTTTTCGATGAAAGTAGGGACAATTTTTTTTAGATATTTGGAAAAGAGTGCAATTTGTAAACTTTTCGTAATTTTGGAACAAATTTTACCCAATCTTACTCACTCGCTCAGTTATCTTCTGTTAATATTATCTGTCGAGTAATTTTCTTTCGTCCACTAAAAATATCAGCAGGAATACTGAGGCGTACTCAAGATAATATGTTATTTACAATATGTACATTTAGCAAATTTGCGAAGCTCAAAAAATTTATTTTGCAAATCTCGCAAAGAAACTTGTAAAAACACCTATTTTGATATGGTTTCTGTAATTTTTCTTGCTGGTGATGGTGAGAATGAAGTTGAGAAATTATTTTGCCAAATAAAAACATGCCCATAGTTGCTCGATAAATTTGCGAAAAAATTCTCACCGTTTTCCAACAAAAGTTTAGTGAAGTCTTGCAAATTTGCAAAACTTCGCAGGTTATCCTTAATTAATTTGCCAAGGTTAATGTGAGTATTCTCATAGTAGATATTTCTGAAAATGTTGTATTATCTGATAAATGGTGTTACATACATATGTAAGTGACACTGAAAAATGGAGCAATACTTATAAATTGCACTCTGCCTCATGAAAACTGCTCGTTCGGATGAATAGATTCACCAAAATGTAAACACTTAATATTTCTGCTCAGGTTTATTTTATTTTTGGCTTTAGGCCAACTTTCACTTTCACTTTGTCCCATTTTGACGGAGAAAGTAAGTTATGAATAATACTCTCTAAGCCTTGCAGTTAACCAGGTGTTCGGCAATTTGTCGCGAAAAATATTAAGGGGATTCACGCAGGGGTTTGGTAGAATTGTAAAATCCATAAATTTTATAACCTTACAAGCTTTCTCAAAATTTTACAAATATTTCTGAGGAAAATTAGCTTACAAAAGTTTTTATAAGTTTTCTCAGATCAAGGGTGTCTCTTTATTTTGTAAAAGCATGTAAAATTATTTTACAAAACTTACCGAATTTACGAGTTACCATTGAATTGCCTCAATATTCATAATTTCAAACTAGATTGCTAGATTTGAATACTTTCAAACCTTTTAAAATTATTGTGCAAGTTTTCTTCCAAACTTACAACGTGAAGATGGAAAAATGTGTATTAGCTTTGATAATCCATGTAATCCAGATTTAGAGATTTTTTGTTCAAATTTATAAAAATTTGTAAAAATACATCTATAAAAGTTTGTAAAATAAATTTATAAAAATTTGTAAAAATACATCTATAAAAGTTTGTAAAAATAAATTTATAAAAATTTGTTAAATTCGAATTTTATCATCAGAAATACATGTTGAATTTCGATGCCATTTACAAACTGTTAGACATAAATGATTTAAATATTATTTATAGATTGGAGCAAATGGTACGGACTTCAAAATAAGTACTTATGTAGGTACGTATTAGTTAGTTTTTTTAAATTCCGATAGGGACACTTATGTACGGCGCTTGGTCGTTTAGCTTTTTCGAACTAAATTTATGTATTATGATTTCATTGAAAGAACAATAATAAAGATAAATGTATACATATTAGTTGGGTCATTTTAAATCTACTCATTTTTTTATAAATATAATATTGCTTATATAGATCCGTGTCGAACCTATGACCCAACAATGGAATGCAGAATGCGGTTTGACATATAAAAAGTTGTGAATAAACTCCGGAAAATACATATTTTCTTCTCAGTTTATTCATATTTTTGGCTCTAGATCAACTTTCACTGCTTTCATTTGTCCCATTGTGACAGAGAAAGTGAAAACGAGCCACAACAATTTTCACCACTCCATCAAAATCAACCAGCAACATCTGGCACTTTCATCAATACATCCGCATCGTCTCGTCCCATGAAGGGTTCGGAAAACCCCGGGGTTTTTGTAGAAAAACCCAACCCCGTGGGTTTTTCCGGGGTTTTTGGGGTTTTTGTGGGTTTTTGGGTTTTTGTGGGTTTTTGTGGGTTTTTGTAGATTTTGGGGCAGGTTGAACCAGAATTCCTAAAATTATTTATTAGAGAAAAACTAATTTAATATACGATTTTAACATGAAATTTTAACCGTTATCATTGATTTGGACTATTACATCGAAAATTCATGTTTGACATGTAAACCTGGAAATATGCAATGATACTTGGAAATTCAAGTCGCAAATGAAAATTCTCAAAATTTCAAGATGAGGCAGAAAAGTTAATTAGCAATGATCTACGTTGTAGTTTAAGGGATTTTGTTTCAATCTGCCTCAAAATCTTACAAAAACCCCGGAAAAACCCACAAAAACCCACAAAAACCCGCAAAAACCCCAAAAACCCCAACCCACAAAAACCCGGGGTAGCGAACCCTGGTCCCATGTGACGAATACAATTTCTAAATTCGCACATTTACAGAATATGAGAAATATGTATTTCTGTTGAGGAAATTATGCGACTATGTAAATATGTTACCTCATCGTTACATCACCTAATAGTGGTAAAATTAACACCAGCCTGTGCCAGTTTGTCACCATTCGGACAAGATTTATCACCATTCGATGAAAAACATTATCACCATTTGGTGAAATCACATATGCTAACCGTTCGGTGACGATTAACACCGGGTCTGTGCAACTGATATCATACGCCTGGGCTAGTTTCATCCATGCTTTGAATTTTTCTCTCCGTGAAAGCGAAGTGATTTAGTTGTGCGGCATTTTATTTGCGATGGGAAACCACATTCTTGCTCACAATTATTTCCCTCAAAATTGTGAACTTTCACGTCGTAATATTAAATATAAGATTAAGGCAATGATTGACAGTGCTGAAAAGATTCTTAGAAGCGGTTCATGCACTTATACAAATTCTCGGAGGGTTCATTATACTTTTATATTCTTCAAACTGAATATATGTTTTACCAAATCTGCATTCCTTCGTAATTCTTTACGTGTTGATTAATAAAAATATAATCCTAAATAAGTGTTTTATTAAATAATTTGTACATCATTTATGAGCCGTTACGACGACACCATTAGTATTTACATAGTCTGTTAGTAGTAACCTGTTTAATTTGCTATCTGCTATTGAATCTGAAATTCTTAATTTCGGCTCAAACTTAAAACAAAATTGTTAAGCGAGAATATGCTGATAGAAAATATTAGATAACGTTTATCTATGTATAGCTTGTTATTCCCTTTCATCCGTGTATCTAGAAAGTACTAGGAATACACTCTAAAAGAGTGTATTCCTGCTCAGTGTCATTTTTGGTAGAAAGTAATGCAGATTTATTCCTAATCTATTAGATTATGCAATATTTTCAAATACATAACTTACAAATTTTCAAAACTTAAACGCTGTTACTGCTCAATGCCTTGCAGCTTCCACGGGCCAGTATACACGATACGTGAACGATGATGCTCATTATATCCAGAGCAGGTGCACTGTGTGCGGATCATCAAAAAACGGACAAATTATTTTTGGGTTCGAATCCCAGTCGGGGTTTTGGTTTGCATTTTTGTAGACATTTTAAGGGTGGAGGGTTCAGAAGCCACAATCCCTTTGACATATGATGACCTGGTGACTGTGAGGACGGGACGAAAAGTCCAAAAATTGTATATTTCTCACTTTTCGTCCCGTCCTCACGGTCACCAGGTCATCATATGTCAAAGGGATTGTGGCTTCTGAACCCTCCACCCTTAAAATGTCTACAAAAATGCAAACCAAAATAACGCCCCGACTGGGATTCGAACCCAAAAATAATTTGTCCGTTTTTTTGATGATCCGCGCACAGTGCACCTGCTCTGGATATAGTGAGCATCATCGTTCACGTATCGTATATACTTGCCCGTGGAAGCTGCAAGGCATTGAGCAGTATATTTTTCAGTTTTCTGTTAATTATAAATCAATTTCCCTGATTCAAGAAAAGTCTGGTATCTGTCTTTCGAAAGTTACGATAAAATTCTTAGGAAAATATAAAAGCGGAATAAAAGTTTTACAGAATAATATTTTTTATCAATGACCAGAAACAAAAGTACAAAAATTTCATGGAACTTCGAAATCATAATCTTCAACACAGAAATTGTAGGTATTTGAAACGAATAAAAATGTCAGATGATGGATGAATTTTCCAAGATCGCATCAGGCTGACTTTCTCTCTCTCTCTTTCTTTCAACATTGTCCTGAAACAATTTCACTTTCACTCCAGCAAACTTTCCCCCTTTCCCACTTTACTTTTTCTCGATTTGCGGACATTCAATTGCACACTTGATTGATATACATCGAGACAAGAGTCCACACCAGTCGACGTATGTATGCATGCCTGAGAGAGTATGGGATTTGGCCTTATCGGCCCGGAGTGCCGTGATAACAAAAGAAACAATTCGCCCAACGCGTGGATCAGTACACTATTTAAAATTAGTGCAAGTTAAGAGAGCCTCTCGTGTTCTTCTCCACTCATTATTTAAAAGGAGGAGATATTTAAATGAGATATGTGATATTTAAAGACAAATAACAGTATTGTTATAAAACGATAATTAACCAAATTTTTGTAAAATTAGTCTTCGTTTGACAAACAGAAACCTGTAAAAAAATCGGTCAGATTCGTGTCACCATTTACAAAAAAAAATAACAAAAATTTTATGAATATGCGTTACAAACATCTGACTTCATTGAAAAAAACTACAAATTCAAGAAAAAACAATCATAAATACCTTTCGAATCTAATACTTATTATTCATACTAAAATCCGTAACTTTTTGTAATTGACGTCATTACCATCCAACAAAATTTTGATATTAATATCAGTACAATTATGCAAGAAATTATACACACGTTCTGCGTATGTAAATAATAAATGGGGAAGAAATAAGGCTCTCACAACTATCACTAGTACGAAATTTAATGTGGTCTGAAGAGTCTATTCTGCAGAATAGACTCTTCGGTGAGAGCCTTATTTCTTCCCCATTTATTATTTACATAATTTGCAGAACGTATGTATAATTTCTTGCATAATTGTACTGATATTAATATCAAAATTTTGTTGGATGATAATGACGTCAATTACAAAAAGTTACGGATTTTAGTATGAATAATAAGTCTTAGGAGGAGAGCTTCACCACCTGCCCCTCTCAGATCTTGATGTGCTTTGCATATGTGGTAGGGTCCTATGAGTGTACTATAACCCTAAAGTGGTTTGACTCCATGGCCACATTTGCGCCCGCCACACCCACTCAAAGGGATGAAAACCACAAAAGTTACCAACTTCAAAAATCCACCAAAAATCCAATTTTGATCGGATTTTGATAAAATTTTCATTTTTGTAATCCCAGATACTTGCTTGATCATATCCAGTAGCAATCTCAAATTTTTTGAAATTTTCGAAATTTTCGGGCATTTTCGGGGTGATGAATTATTCGAGAAAATTCAAAATTTCAAAAAAGTTGAGATTGCTACTGGATATGATCAAGCAAGTATCTGGGATTACAAAAATGTAAATTTTACCAAAATCCGAGCAAAATTGGATTTTTGGCGAGGGTTTGAACAAGTGAAAACAGGGCTTTTTTCGTGTTTTTGGCGCCTTTGAGTGGGTGTGGCGGGCGTAACTGTGGCCATGGAGTCAAACCAGTTCAGGGTTTTAGTACACTCATAGGACACTACCACATATCCAAAGCACATCAAGATCTGAGAGGGGCAGGTGGTGAAGCTCCCCTCCTTAGATTCGACGGGCATTTATGATTGTTTTTTCTTGAATTTTTAGTTTTTTTTTCAGTGAAGTCAGATGTTCGTAACGCATATTCATAAAATTTTGTTAGTTTTTTTTGTAAATGGTGGCACGAATCTGACCGATTTTTTTTACAGGTTTAGCCTACATTAAGCAAATTGAGGATCATAGCCAGGTGTCGAATAACAATAGAAATTTACGTTGTGCACCACGAAACAAAACGATTGCATGTTTACGGGCAATAATTTACCTCGAGATTCTAGTTACACGCTGCTTTATGACGTTCTTATTTTAAGAAACTTATTCTCGCCCACTTGACATAAACGAGTGTAGTGCACAAAGTCCAGTGCAAACTTGACTCTTGGTTGCACTTTTTGTTTTGTTGCTCCCGAAAGTTTGAGGAAAACAAAATAACAGTTGCAATTTAAGGTTAAGTTTGTTACTAACATTGCATGTAATTACTGTAAATTTTATAAGTTGATTTACACAATTAGAGTGAATGGAACTTAAAGTATGTCATTCATTTATGAAGATTGGGCAGGTATATTTTTGTCAAATATTGTGACTTTAAAATTTATTTAAGCATGTTTTTACAAAGTTATCAAGCATTGCGTCAAGCAATGAAATTGTAGCTGATGTAAATTACCGCTGTATAAAGAATTACAGGTTTTTTTATCTAAAAATAAAATTATTTTATTTCTTCGAATGAGTTCGATGCCACAAACGAAAAATTGAATTTGTTGAGTAGTGCATACTTATTTGAATAGATATACGGTGGTTAGCTTGGAGGCTTAAAAACCAAGATTTTGAAATTTTGAAAAATTAAACCCAGAATTGAAATTGAAAAGAGGTTTTTAACTTGTGATGAAACCACATCGCAATGCCGACTTTATCGTAATTGGCGTCAAGGCAGGAAATGCGGTCGTGGTGGTCGAGATAAAATCTTCAGAACTGCCCGTCCTGCTGACCAGTTTCATTTTATTAGTCGAATATTTATTAGTGATCCTTGTTCTTCCCCGTGTTTCTCGCCAATATCAATTAGTTGGGCATTAAATATTGGGTTCGTTAGGGTTAAAATGTGTCATTTCATTTTCTCCACTTTCTTTGCATATGTGCGACCGGCGATAAAAAGAAAGTCGATTAAAGTCGGTTTTATTTTTTTCGCTGAAATGAAGTAAGCCGCCAAAACAAATGACTGTTTTTCCATTATCTAGATTTATAATACTCTACAAGTATCATATTTTACATGTTTAGGAACCCTGTAAGGATTTCCATGGATTTTTTTTTCGCGAATTTCGACGACTCAGAGATGGCCAAGGCTAGAACTTAAAATGTTAGCATAATCTAATCCTAAGTAAATAAAGGTGTATTAATACACCTTTATTTCAGTTGAGTCAAGTATAAACCTTAATTTTATATAATGTCTTGATTTGACGCCATTAATGACTTATTTGAAATAAACATTAACTAATTTTGTTAAAGATCATCGTCGACGAATCTGCTCATACGTATACTTTTAGAAATCCTAGGATGGAAATAATACCAATTATATATGACTTTACCACAATGGTATTGATGTGTAATACCGTGTAGTATTAAAGTTTTACGTATCGGTAGCAAATTTTGACGGACCGGTTTTATTTTTAATACCAAGAGGTAGCAACTTTATTACCAGGAAATCAATACCCGCCTGACTTTACCAGATTTTTAACAGTGTACATATCCTACAGAAATTGGATTGAATCAACGTAGTCCTTATTCATGTTGATGAAATTGTTAATAGCAAATTAAATTAAAATTGAGTAAAAATTGGGGGTATTCACGTGAACTTCGTAAAGGCCAGACAAAGTGTTGTTAATGTGCCGCTTCACAAAATATCTAACTGGCAACTTTGTCAGTTAGAATCAATTAGAATGCTGTATTTTTAACGAAATATTCCGCACAAAAGGCTTATTTTTCGTAGTGAACCTTTTTTCGCAAATTCATCGTCGAGTGAATTTTTTTTATCTCCTTATTTTAAGCTCACGTATTTTGATTTTAAATACGTCGTACACGACACCGAATTTGCAAACACTTGCGAAAAGTTGCGATTACGTAGCAATGTTTCTGAGTGAATATTCACATTGGTTTTGTGCTTTTTGATTTTGTGTTTTTTTTATTTACAACAATCCAAAGTTAAGAAAATTATAAATTGGCATTTTATAAATTTCATAAATTTATTAGAATGCAGCGAGTAATTTTTATTTAGTAGCTTCTGTTTCATTTACTGCGTTTAAAAGCCTTTGACCACTTGCTAAAGAGATGGAATGACGTATCGCTGGTAAATTTTCTTGTCGGAATGAACCCCGTCTTCCGGAGTAAGTCTGAAAAATTGGACAAAATTGAAATACATTACTTAACAAATTTGTAAAATTTGAAACCCCTAGAAAACAACCGTCCTTAAAATAAGCTGATAACAATGTTTTCAAGAAATTTGGACAATCTCTGCCACATCGGTAATGATTTGCTACCGTGCAGTAAAACAAAATTTTCTAAAACCAATTTTTATTGCACTCTTAGAAATCCAGTATTAAACTAGATAATATCCAGCGCTATTCATATTTGACTGTACCAAAGTAGTACTGACAAGTAATACCGTGTAGTAGTAGCTCGGTATTAAAGATTTACCACATCCGCTGCAAATTTTTAATAACCGGTATAATTTTAATACCAAGTTATATACCGGGAAATCAATACCTGCCTGACTATACCAGATTTCTAACAGTTTACATAGAATGATAATTATGAGCTTCGTGAAAATTATTTTTATCACTCTGTCACAAATATTTAGTTACCAACGTGGTAGAGAATATGTGACGATTTCTTTGTTACCAACTTATTTCAGAGATTAGCCTTGTTTCGGAAATTTTTCAACACTTACCTCGGCGGCCACTTGTTTTAGAACTGCACTTGCGGCTCCCGTGTGGTTGACCATTGAACTTAAAATTCCATTGGGATCACTTAACAAGATGTGAGGATGGTTATATTCCTAGAATTTTAGGAAATTTCTAAAATATTTGAAAATTAAATTGAACTCATTTTTAAATTACCATGAGGTATCCGTTGTCCAAAACTAAAATACGGTCGCAGTCCATGACGGAATTTAATCTGTAGAGAATTGACCGAGTTTTAAAAAACTTCAGAAAAATTCAGGACAACTTTTTTCGCATGCTATCAAATTTTCGATTTTTTTGCGAAATTGCTGATTTATATAGAAATGTAGGTGGTAGAGTGTCGAAAAATTTATCAGATTTCGCAAAAATTTTGGCAGATTTGCTTATTTTGGATGATTATTTCGCGTTTTTTGCAAAATAAGTCGTTAAGATGCAAAAAAAGTTGACGTGAGTGTGCCTAATAAAAAATTTAGGTGAACTGAACCTGCATACCTGTGAGCAATAGTTATTATAGTACAGTCTGCAAATTTTGTTCGGATTGTTTGCTGGATGAAGTTATCGGTGCTAAATCGGAAACATTTTGATCAGCATAAATATTTCAGTTAAATCAACAAATATATACTAAATAATTAGGTAATAAATGGCAATTCACGCAGACCTTGGTAACATTGTAATATCCGTAATTTCTGTAAATTTACAAACTTTAACAAATATTTCTGATTAAAATTATTTAACTCCCAAATTTTTGTAAACTTATTCAGATCAAGAGCGTCTCTTGATTTTGTAAAAGTTTGTAAAATTATTTTACAAAATGCATGGATTTTTAATAAGTTACCAATAACTAGAGTTTCTCAACGGGTTCGGGTCGTTATCGGGTTTTTATCGGGTTCGGGTTCGGATTCGGATAGGGTTTTCTGTATCCGAACCTTATCGGGTTCGGATACGGATCACGCTTTCAGTATCCGATTGTTATCGGGTTCGGATTTACCTTCGGATCATCCGAAAACCCGATTCAAAATTGAAATATAAGATTTAAGTCCCACAATAATTTTTTTAAACTGTAACGCTCCCTATTCTATTATGGGATTGCGTGTCCTGATTCACATCCACTTTCGCGGATGCCCCTTTTCTTTGTGACGTTGTGCAATAAATTTGTAGTAGAAACTCACTTTTTTTATAATAATTATGAATATTTTATTTACATCAATACCGACTGAAAAATATTGACTTTACAGAAATGCTCGTATTATTAATACGTGGGAGAGCTAATGCTATTATTTAAATTTTAACTAATTATCTAGACAGGAACTTATTATTAAGTTTCCGAAGCCTTAAACCTTGAACTTGATCTTGATGATCACTAAAACTAAACCTGCTGATCCTGAATCTAAAACTACACTTTTTCTTCTTCTCTCTATATATACGTGATCACATAAGCCACGCCTTCTTGATCACTGCCTTTACTTACGCTACATATGCACAAACTACGCCCTCATGATCATGATGATCATGATGACGTAGGCATCATTCTGTGCTCCTCATTCCTATCCTCTCTTCCCCTTCATGATCTCCTCCTGCACACAATATGGTTTGGACACACATGAGAGGCGAGATACATATGAAAACTACATCTATGTATTTTAAATCCCTTGACCTTTGAAATGCTGATGTCACATTTGCATCAGCGTTCCAATGGTTGCAAAACATTGGCAGTTGTTTAAAATCAATATGTCCTTCAATTAATAGAACGTTCATAAAATAAATAACCAAATTTTAACCATTTCTAGGTCCTCCCTCACCATTCTATGTACACATTACTCGATTGAAATTTTAACATAGGCGAGATTGAGGACCTAATCTTATTCTTTCTGCCTTTCTATCTTGAGTTACATATTATATGACAGTTCCACAAATATTATGACAATAGTATGAACAATTAACAATAGTACTCATGAGTGATCGATATTAGTGGAAGAAATAAAAAGTTATACAATTTAAAGCTGGTTTCATTTTTGACAAACAAATCGAAATTATAAAATTGAAGCTCATAGTTATGATTTTTTAACAGTTTGAACAATAATTGGGGAAAAAATTAATATAGAAATGAGCTTATGAAGGTATTTTATACTTATCGGGTATCGGGTTCGGGTTCGGATGAAGCGTATCGGGTTCGGGTTCGGATGAAGCGTATCGGGTTCGGGTTCGGATGAAGCGTATCGGGTTCGGGTTCGGATGAAGCGTATCGGGTTCGGGTTCGGATGAAGCGTATCGGGTTCGGGTTCGGATTCGGATCGTTCCCCAAACAAGTCGACGCGGCGTTAACAAAATCTTGCATTGTTAACAAAATTCCCCATAGCTAACAAAATTTTCTGCTGCTTCCAAAATTCCTGATAAGTTAAAAGTTCATCCAAAGAATACGTTGTAATGCTAGACGGGTAACATTCGGTTTCAAATGAATTTCAAATGAAATTCTTTTAATCTTTGAACAAAATCTTATGAAAATGGCTTTTAGAATTGGTAAAGTATATTTACAACTATGCGGTATAATTCACACATACGCTAATAACCTTTAATAAATACCGTAATTCGATCGTGGAAAACTAATATCGAAATTGCAATTATTTTGCAAAACTCAATAAATTGGTAAAGTGGGGTCGGAAATCGAGGCAGTGGCCATATTCTAGTCCAAAATAAATTTATAAAATAATTTTCAGTCATATCATACCAAGTTTGGATGAGTTTGAGACAAAACTCAAAATTTGCAAAAACATTCGCACATATTGGCTCAGATCTCGAAAACTACCAATGCACCCCCCCAGTATTATTACGGATTCTTCATGTACAAAAAATTACGAAAATTTTAAGCTATCAAACTTGAAAATCGTTCGAGTGCGAAAAAACACGATCTCATTGTATATATCTATCTTAACAAATCAGATTATCGGGTTCGGGTAATTATCGGATTCGGGTAGAAGATATCGGGTTCGGGTTCGGATGAAGGATTTCGTACCCGTTGAGAAACACTACCAATAACTGCGTGAATTGCCTTAATAATTTGGTAACGTGATTACGCAAATTGTTAATATCTAACTGAGGATTAGATCACATTATTACGATTATTACTATTGTTTCCATTATTACCATTGTTACCATTATTACCATTAGTCTACCAAGATTAGTAGCAAACATTACCAGGTTTACCACGTCGGTAATAAAATTTCATATGTTGATTTACAATTTACTTGGTATACTCCGGTTATACAGCCTTCACATGATGTGAATCACATCTAATCGCATATTATATTATTTGGTTTTCGCAGTTAATCATGATTGGCGTCATACTAATACGAACCACGCTATTAATTTAATCGATAATGAAATGTGACCAAATTATTTGTGTATCAGTTCAAAATAAAAAATTAAATAAAGTTATACCGTGGATCCACATTCGCAGTTGCCTACAAACATTTACAATTATTATTAATTGTAAATTAATAACATTGCAATAATTAATTACATTAGGAAAAAAGTAATTACCTCGTCCACCACAATTATTTTGTTCTTTCTTAAAATGGCTCTTGCCAGGCAAACGAGCTGCCTCTGGTCCACGCTGAAGTTGCTCCCACCGTCGGAAACTTCAAAATCCAAGGCGGGAATGTCATTTTTTAATTCGACCTGAAACGGTATTAATAATTTAGTTAGAAAATATCTAACTGAATCAAAATTTCAAAAGATATAAATTTTGCCCTGCAAAATTCACGAAAGCCATTGGTAACTTAAAAATTTGTAAGCTTTGCAAAATAGTTTTACAAACTTTTACAAAATAAAAAGACCCCCTTGATTTGCACAACTTTACAAAGCCTAATTTTAACCGTAAACCAAATTTTCCTTAGAAATATTTCCAAAATTTTGTAAAAGTTTGCAAGTTTACAGGATTTACGGATTTTACAATGTTACCAATGACTGCGTGAATTGATTTTGTTGGTAAAATTCAAATTTGCTACCATTAGCTCTCCCACGTATTAATAATACGAGCATTTCTGTAAAGTCAATATTTTCAGTCGGTATTGATGTAAATAAATTTATTAATAATTATTATTCTAAAAAAGTGAGTTTCTACTACGAATTTATTACACAACGTCACAAAGAAAAGGGGCATCCGCGAAAGTGGGTGTGAATATGGACACGCAATCCCCATTAGAATAGGGAGCGTTACAGCAATTATAAAATTGGAGTTTTTCTTCAATATTTTCAATAATTTTTTCTATATATTTTTTTTTCAATATATTTAATATTTTTCAATACCGATGACAAAAATTGGTACCAAATTTTTAGTAATTTAAAAATTATTTATCTACCTCTTCCAGCGATTCCCGTAAGTCTTGGTCCGAATATTGATCAAATGGATCCAAATTGGACCGCATTGATCCCGAGAACAAGACGGGATCTTGCAGAATTATGGAGACAGCTTGTCTCAAGTCGTGAAGACCGATGTCATTAACTTGAACGCCATCAATAAACATGTCTCCTCTGGGTTCCGTCATTCGAAATAGGCCATTAATTATGGAACTCTTTCCCGCTCCGGTATCTAAAATCATGTAAAAAAATATAGGCCATTAATTATGGAACTCTTTCCCGCTCCGGTATCTAAAAACATGTAAAAAAATGAAATAAATTTACACTCTTAAAAAATTTATAAAATCAGGAATGTCGTAATTCACACAGGCCTAGGTAACATTGTAAAATTCGATAAATCTGTAAACTTCCAAGCTTTTACAAAAATTTGCAAATTTTAATATGAGGAAAATTAGCTTACAATTTTTTGCAAACTTACTAATCCTAAGATCAAGGGTATCTTTATTTTTTTCACAGATTTATAAAGTTGTTTTACAAAACTTAAGGATTTTACAAATGACTGCGTGAATTGCCTTAATGTTATTGTAATAGCTAGACTCATAATAAGTTGGTGACAAAAATTGTAGAATTTAGTATAAGGTTTCATAAGTAATGATATTTTGTAGTTGTATGAAAATGCCTTTATTTCTTTGTATTGTAATTGAGTGTCTCATAACCTCGTGATTTTGAGTTTTCCGGTTCTCTTGGGCTTGGGCCACTATTTTTTCTGTTGCTGTGTGAGTGAATAATTGTATGAATTATTCTTGGGTTTGAGTTGGTCATGAGAAGTCATGTAAAATTAATGTTCCAACGAATTAATTGATTCTAATTAAATAAAGTGGTTTAGTAAATGTAATTGGCTTTACTAGTTCCAGCTTTGATTTTAAAGTAAAGAATCGCAAGAATCATAAGTCACGAGAAGAGTTTTAAAGTCATACACCGCATTCCACTCGGCAATTTTTAAGTGAGGACTTATCTACGGGTAGTAGGTCTGCTCCCTCAACAAAAATCGTCACCACGCTGCAGCGTGGTGACGATTTTTGTCACTGGTACAGATTTGTCACCCAATGTAAATCAAAATTTCCAAGAAACTCCAATTTGGCTTCTTCCTCTTAGAAATTGACTGATAAATAAACTATTGATAAATTGATATCAAAACTGTAAATAAACAGTTTTGAATTTCATGGAAATTGTTGTTGCCATTTTTTCTTTCCCACATCTTTGCCAACGGGACTACACGCGGTGACGATTTTGATCAAAATTGTGTGTCAAATTTAAATTAAAAGAATAATTATTACTCTACCAAATTACCAAAATACTCTACCTATTGGTACATTTACATATTTTAATTGCATTTATCTTCTATTTATTTACAAACTTCCAAAATCATCTACCTAAATTCGTTTAAAATATGTTTCGCATTGTATTATTTTTAAAATGGATTTTAAGTCACACATCCAACAAATTGACCAGGTAATTTTTTAACCAGATTTTTATTGGGGCCAATTTTTTTGCATGAAATAAATTTTGCATTTTGAGTACGAGAATTGCCACCACCAAGTTTCACTGCCAAAACTTATTGTTTTCATATCAGTTTTTCGAGTTACCAACAAGTATTTATACCAATTAATTAATGTTAATAAATTTGGATAACACTTATGACCAGCGATGCCAATTTTTTCGCACGCCTTTATATCGAATGTGATCCCTTTGATAACATCTTTTTCTTCGTATTCCAAGTAATAATTGCGGAATTGTATTTCTCCATTTTTTGGCCAGTCTTTTGGAGGTTTTTTATCTGTAAAATAAAAAAAAATTTAAAAATTACGATTTAAAAAATCAAATGAATTTGACAGAATGGTAACAAATCTGAATTTCGTGGTAAAAATTATTGTTACCATTCAGTAGCAAATTTGTTATACCTATTTTGTAGCTAGTTTAGCCTTGCGGCAATCAAAGACTTACCAGGTTTTGAGTCTAATGGAGCTTCAGGATCTAATTTGGCATACTCCAGTACACATTCCACATGAGATTTTCATGAGATTTTCGGTTTCTGCCGACTGTTAGACCGCGACAAAGATAAGTAAGATAAGGTCAAAGATAAGGTAAAGGTTTGGTTAGTCGCTTACTTGTCTCATGCCCCATTGAAAAACACCCATTAAACACAGAAGATATCGCTAAGCCGACATCACTGCTTTTGTAGTCTAAAAATGGAAGGATCAGTAATTTGAAACAGTAAATTTAATGGCACATGTGCGTATGAAATTTAACATAATTGCGAAATGAAGACTGAATTAATGAAGCAATTCACACAGTCATTTCACTGATAACTTTGTATCCGAAATGTCTTTAATATCCGAAATGTCTTTAATATCCGAAAAATCCGTAAACTTACAAATTTTTACAAATAAGGAAGGAAAATTTTTATGAATTGCTCAAATGAATCAAGGGCATTTTTTTATTTTGTAAAGTTCTACAGCTTTTGTATGTAATACACTTCATAAAATGATTTTACAAAACGCACGGATTTTATAAGCTATCAATCAATGACATTAAATGTCATTGACATTTTTTTATGAACATATAAATTTTGTATGTTCATAAAAAAATTGGAAAGATTTTACAATTTTGTTTAACTACAATGCCAACGAAAAGAATTAACAATATTGTCGTCTACATAGTTTAAAAAATCAGATTCACACTTGTCTTTGTAGATTTGTTTGAGTAATGGCTATAGATCTATCTCCATAAGAGACCCTCGTGCTTAACATTGCTCAGTATTTAGCCATGCTCAAACTCCAATGGATAAAGAGTATATTGATTTAATTTTGTGCCTTATTTCATAACCGTAATTATTTAAGGTACCTGTTAGAGACGCCAAAATGAGGAAACTTAACGTGACAATGGTCAGATATGCGACCGAGATCATTTCAAGCCAGACCCCAAACCAGCTTGAATTTAAAGTTGAAATTATATTTTTGAAATTTTAGAAATTCTTTAATTTAAGGAGTTACCGATTAGCGGAAATAAAAATATACCACGATGAGGAATGAATATCCTGCAGTTGAAATAAATTTTTAGTTAATAATTTTTTAAAAAATTTGATTTTTGATAAATTTTGAAATTACTTGATGTCTGTCAAACTGTTTTACTAGGATTGATTCTGCGTTGGCAGATCGTATCGTGGTAGATCCAGAACTTGATGCCACGACGTGGGTGAAAATTGGACTCCGGGCTACGAAAAAAATTGTGTTTTATAATTACCAAAAATTTGTGTCATTTTTCACCAGTATTTTTTTAACTGTAAATTTGTAGAAAATTTTATTTTATAAAGTGACCAAGCTAGGTTTGTAACCTGGTTTTATGTTGAAAAATTTTGAAGATGGTTTCACATGCAGACAATGGAATTTTTTTGTTTGTGAAATGAATGGAGTTAGGTGGTGCTATTCAACAAAGCAAATCACGCAGTCGCTTGCCACTTTGTAAAATTCTCAAGTTTATAAATTTCTGCAAATCTTCATTAAAAAATTAGCTTACAAATTTTTGTAAGCTTACTCAGTTCCAGTATCCAGTCTTTTTAAACTTACAGATTTTACAAAGTTACCAAGGACTGCATGAATTGTCTTGCTATAAATTTACCAGAAAATTTGCAAGCCGATTTACCCCAATTCAATATTAATTTCTCACTATTAAATTACAAATACCTAATCTAAAATTGTAACTATCAAAATACAAAAAAATTACGAATTAAGTTTAGGAAATTTTAGCAAAACTTAAAAATCTCACTCAACTCAAATTACTCAAATTACATCTTAATCAGTTTGAAAGCAACCTTATAAAATTTACGCATTTTGCAAATTTCGCATAAATTTCATTCATTAAAAATATTAATTTCACAAAATTGATATAGTTTTCAAAATTATACTACAAAATTCCTTACTTAAAGCTTCAATCCGTTTGACGGCACGTGCCGTTTTTATGTAATATTGTCGGATGACAAAGAGGATAATTAGTAAGGCGAAGGTGGGGATGGCCATGTAGTAATTCGAGCTAATAATCAACGCCACCATGGTCAACATGAGGAGGAAAATTGTTATCGCGTCAAACATCGCGTACGGAATAAGTTCGTCCAAGGAGCCCAAATCTTTGGTAAATCTGTGGAAATATGTAAATGATACGAATTTGAATTATGGTAAAATTTGTGTTACCAATTTGATAACTAATTTTGTAAATAGGTAATAAAATACTGGTAACAAAGCTGGGTAACAAACCTCTAGCCATACTGATGCCAAATCAGATTTATGCACATTACCCTAACCAATTAAGTACATATGTAAACAGTAATATTAAATATGACTTCGACAGATAAAAGTTTCTGAAAATTTGTAAAACAGAAAAAAAACTAAAATTATCCTAACACAAAAATTGGGACAATGCAAAAAAAATATTGCTGCTATGAAAATTTGAAACAATTTCGTTCTGAAAACAGTTATTCCAGCCTACAAATTACTTTTAATTTCAAATTGTAATCAGAAGAATTTTAATAATCAGTTTATGTGCTCTTTTTCGGGACAAATTTAATTCACACTGTGAATTTGAAATCATTTGTCAAAATTTAAAATTTCAATGTCAATTATGTCAAATGTAAAAGCCGATTATTAATTTTCGGCTAGTCATTTCGAGTTCTAATAAATAGATTATCAACTTTTTTGATGGGGTAGCAGGTTAACAACAATGTAAAAATTAGTTGAAGAATAAAATTAATAACAGCAGAAAATTCAAATATGCTCCCGTACTAAATAAATACTTGGACAATTAACGTAGCCCTTGGTAGCATTGTAAAATCCGCAAATTAGCAAACTTTTGCAAAATTTTGCAAAATATTTTTTTGAAAAATTAGCTTACAAATTTTTGTAAGTTCACTCATCCTCAGGTCAACGGGGTATTTTTATTTTCTAAAAGTTTATAAAATTATTTTAGTAAATTTACGGATTTTACATGTTACAAATGACTGCGTGAATTTCCACGTTATTTTATTATTTAGTAAATGCAAGGATTTCTTAGAATGAGCATTTTTAACTATTTCGTCATATTCAATGTTTGAACAATTACAAAAATCTATTTTCTGAATTTTAAAATTCGGTTTTTATCTATTAACAGTCAGTGCATATGGCTTTACCTGCTTATGATAAATACGTCGGACACACTAGAAATATTTCCAATTCGGATTTAAACTCAATCCACTTCTCAATCTAAACTTTTGCTCAAATCTTATCCATGTAACGGATAGAGTTTCGTCTTTTTATTTTTATAAAAGTTTGCAAAATATATTATCAAATTTACGGATTTTACAAAGTTACCAAGGACTGGATGAATTGGCTCATTACTACGAAATTTCCAGCGCAACTCATTTTTTTAAATTTGGAATCAACTATTTTGTAAATAAATTCTTAATTTCGATTCAGCAAAAGTAATCCTAAGTACTCACAACGGCATAATGTGATCTATTCCTTAGTTACATATTAACCATCTTCGTTCCAAAGGTTTTGAGGCAATTCATGCAGTCTTTGGTAACTTATAAAATTCGTAAATTTTGTAAAATAATTTTCAAACTTTTACAAAACAAAAAGATGCCCTTGATCGGAGTAAGTTAACAGAAATTTGGAGCTTTGTTAACCAAAATCATAGAACAAAGGAATTGTCTGACAATATCTTTTACAAATATTTTTGACTATAGATTTTTTTAAATTGTCATTCCAACGTTTAAATGACACAATTTCTCCAGATTTAAAATTTCAACTTTGCTCTCTCGTACTTCTGATTTCTTAATAAAAATTTCTCCTGGATACGATGTTGATTTCATAATTGCACCTAATAGCACCCAATTAATATTTTCAACCGTTTCCAAATTTTGAGTTGTTTTGAAGAAATACACGAAAATTCCTGTAAATGATTTTTGAAATTATCTTGGAAAATGAAGACATATCGATTATGTCGGTAAATTTTGAAAAAAGTTTTCTTTTGTCGTTTTAAAATTCAACTCAGAGCGAACTGAGTTAGCTTGTTACCATCGATAAGATGTTATCTCTACTAATACTACTACTAGTATTCGGAAATTTCCTAAAATTGGTCGAAAATTCCACATAATTTTTGAAATTTTTGAAAAATTCCGTAAAATTTTGTTCAATAATTTTATGAACTTGTGCTAAATGAAAGGACGCCCTAGATTGGAGTAAATTTATAAAAATTTGTAACCTAATTTTCCACAGCAATGTTTGTAAAGTTTTGTAAAAGTTTGTAATTTTACAGAATTTATGGATTTTACAATGTTACCAAGGCCTGCGTGAATTTACTCAGGGTTACCGAATTATTTAGCATGTATTTATTACTGGAATACTCATGCTTATCAATTTGGCATCGATAACTTCATCCAGCAAACAATCCGAACAAAATTTGCAGACTACACTATAATAAGTATTGGTTAATGGAATGAGGTCCACCTCAATTTTGTGTCAGGCACACTCACGTCAAGTTTTTTCGCAATTCGCAAACTTTTATCCTAAATAAGAAAATCTGCCAAAAGTTTTGCGAAATCTGGGCAAGTTAGCAACACTTTGCCGTCTATATCTCTTTATAAATCTTTAATTTACGAAATTTCGGGAATTTGCAAAAGTTATTGACGTAATTTCTTTAACAGTTTTTTAAACCACGATTAATTCGATAGATTGAATTCTATTTTAGTTTTGGACAAGGGATACCTAATGGTAATTGAAAAATGAGTTGAATCCAATTTTCAAAATATATTACAAATTTCCTAAAACTCCAGGAATATAACCATCCCCACATCTTGTTAAGTGATCCAAATGCGGGCCGAAGTGCAGCGATTTTAAAACAAGTTGCCGCCGAGGTAATAAATTAGTAGGTTTTGAAAAAAGGTAAATCTCTAAAATAAGTTGGTAACAAAAAAATTGTCACGTACTACCGTATTGGTAACTATTTGCGACCGAACGGTAAAAATAATTTTCACGAAGCCCATAATTAACATTTTATCTATTGACTACACTCAATTATCTGGCGGTGACTATATGCGACTCTAACGCCCTGGTAATAAATTGTTACCGACTAAAGTTTATTACCACTCTGATATTTTTTTTATTCCCTGGTTGTACTTTTTACCAGCGCAGTAAAAGATTTGCTATACCAATGCAATAATACGTAAATCGCATCCAGCAGTACCTACATTTGTTTCATTGTCTAAATTTGTAGAAAATTTCGACACCAACTTGTTTGAAATTTTCCAGAATTTCAAAAAAAATGTCAAGACATGTATTTATTAATTTAGTATTTCACCAATTTTTCAGACTTCCTCCGGAAGATGGGGTTCATTACGTCATACGTTATTCCATCTCTTTAGCGAGTGGGCAACGGCTTTTAAACGCAGTCAATGAAGCAGAAGGAACCGAATAAAAAAATTACTCACTGTATCCTAATAAACTGATGAAATTTATAAAATGTTAATTTATCAAGTTCAAGGAAATTTCAAAAGAATGTCTGGAAACCAAAATTTTTCCGAATTTATAACGGGGACGATTATTGTGACTCTCTATCTACTAACTCATACCTACACAGATAAATTATTTTCGTACTTAAATTGACGTTAAAGTTTGACAAAATAAAAAATAAATTTCTGCTGATTTCCAACTTTTTCGTTATACTGTGGACTAGCACAATTTTTAAAATTGTAAAAAATATTAAATTAAAATAACTTTTTATGATTAAATTACATAATCCGGGAAATGTGAGACTTCACAAATGTCAAATAAACCAAAGAATAAAAACAATTGAATTTGTTGGTTTATCACGATTTTCCAAATTACGAAATTAACATCTGAAATTTTAAGGCGTCCATAGTTTTCTGTAATTCGGGAAAAAATTGTGTAATCATAATTAATGAGAATGTCAGATGAGAATTCGTTAGAGAAAACCGGGGATAAGAGAAAGTGAGGCCAATATTGTGTACGTCGCGGTACTTGAATTGAACATGTGATAATATGACAAATTTTTTAAAAAAATATCTGCAGATGTATCAAAATTTCTGGAACTACTAACAAAATTAAAAATTTTCAAATGGGTCATTTTATTTTTCAAGCTTTTGTATACATAATCCTGGAGAAAGTTGTGTAATTATGACAAATGAGAATGTCCACTAAGAATACGGACGGACACGACGGAGAGACAAGAGAAAGTGAGGTGTGTGTCTTGTTATGGGAGGATTTTAAGCTCACTGACGAAGTTGACAGATGAGCGGTGAAACGAGATTTATGTCGACAGCAATAAATTCCAGGCCAGACGTTACACTCACCATGTTTGTCCAGACCTGGAGACGGAACATATTATTTTGCTTTCACCGAGATCACTTTTGGTACTATTTACTACGGCCAAAACATATCACGAATTTGAGGTTTGTGACGGACGAGCATAAAATATTTGGATTAGTGAAAAATCTCGTTCTCTATAGGCTTAAAGGTTCATTTCCTAAAAAAATATTTAATCGTCGTAAAACTAGAATTTATACGACTGATCGGATGTACTACAATTTCGTTTCACAAAATTACTTTCTTATTACTAAAGATGGACAGAAATTGTCGGTGCAGACACACCTGTTCAAAAAGTGTTTCTTTATTACGAATTTATTCAATTTACAAATTTGAAAATTAATATTTATTCTTTATGCATTTACCTGTTTAAAATTTCAACATGCAAATTCTCGCTCACCGATTCCATCATAATTTCGTTCAAACTTCGCATTATGAAAAATCCTAAAACACATCATCGCATTGTGAGCATAATGCTATTGATCGATCGAAACGCCGATTTTGGAATTTTTAAAAATTGCCTTTGGTTTTTAATACAAAGATTAATTTTACCTTTTGCGATGTTCGAGTTAGCGGGGCAAATACTGAGGAGTTCTTTCTTTCACGTCACCTTCGTAACTGTAGTAATTATCGTGAATAGTGTAAATTTACGATATCTGCGAGAACTCCATGCGTACGAAACTTCCTAAATATATGCAAGGTTGAGGCATCTTTTTCGACGGTATAATTTTAATACCAACCGGTAGCAAGTTTAATACCGAAAGATCAATACCTGCATAACCATACCAGATTTATTTCTAATAGTGCATATAACGATAGAAATTGAATAGTTACCACTTTATCATAATTCGTTCCCAAAGTGCACGCGTTATCTGCAAAAATTGATGAGAAATAAATTGTTGGAATTACTTTATTAAATAAACTTTAAAATTAAGATATTGATTTTATGCATGAAATTTTCAATTTGTTGCCGACTTTAATTACATACTTTCGTATCTATACACCATCTGCATAAATTGACGAGAAAAAAATTGCTAGAAAGATTATATTTTTACTTTATGTGGCTATTTTTTAAAATTTCTTTTGGCCAAGCATTATTAACCAGATGTACGTGTTCCTAACCCCGAACCCATGCAGGCACAAAAATTGCTGGCTCATGCGCATAACGAAATTAATGATTTTTATCGACATGTAGGTAATCCAATTTTAAAATTGATATTACAATTTTTATTGAATAGTAGTCACACACATTGAAGTCAACCCAGCATTTCGTTTTTTGTCAATTTTTTTTAGAACAAAACTCGTCACAAAAAGTTTTTTTTAGTTTATCAATAACTTAGAACCTTAATTTTATATCGTCACTTTGAAATATCAGATTTAATTGTGTAACTACGATATTAAACTTTATCAAATTTAAAACTAATCTAAATTGACGGTTCAGTTAACTCGAGCTTGACATCAGTAAATTCTGTAAACTTACAATGGAGGCGCAAACCATGTTCAGCCCAGATAATTTTTTGACCTTATTAGTTTGAAAGAGCAAGTCTTTACAAACAACATTTGGCTCGGCACTTGGGCAGATGCGCAAATTTCAGCACGTTATGGGCGCCGCAAGTTCGCAAAACGCACGATTTTTCGGGCAATGCCCAGCGCGAGCTCAACTTCGTACGTTTTTGCGAACTTGCGGCACCCAGAAAGTGCTGAATTTTGCTCATCTGCTCAAGTGCCGAGCCAAATGTTGTTTGTAAAGACTTGCTCTTTCAAACTAATAAGGTCAAAAAATTATCTGGGCTGAACATGGTTTGCGCCTCCATTGTTAGTAATTACAAATTTTCAAAGATTACGAAGAAGATAACTAACATTTTGCAAAGTATTTTTTTGTAAAATCAAGTTTGACATTATTAAATATTTCGCAAATACAAGTTTCTAAATCCGCAAATCAAAAAATTTTCACGCCACAATCTTATCTGCTTCCACTTTGATGAGCTTGTTGTAGTAAAATTAAAATACACAAATTCGGCATCCATATCCAACAAATTGTTCAGAAATTTTATTGTTGGCTAAATTTCCAAATAAATTACTTACGACTGACTATATATTATTCAACTCTTATACTTTTTGCAATTATTTATATCAAAGATGAGCAATTTCTGGGTAATTTTAATGCGGTGTTTGATAACTTTTTTTAATTGTAATTTTTTTGATATTTGCTAATAACATTGCTAATAAGACAATGCTAATATGATTGCAAGAAATCCAGGGTATAAAATTCAAAAATACAAATTTTGTGAAAATTTTCATTTTTATGTTTTTTCATTCATATTTCCTAAAGACTCCTTCTTTTCGTTATACAAATTTCATAATGCATAATTGCCCCTTGACAATTAAAGTTTCGAAAATTCCATAATTTAAAAATTTTGCGTCGATAAAAACCCGCAACTTGAAATATATAAAATCATGATTAGTAAAAAGGGGCATTAAGGGTTATGTTTTTGCGAGTTTGTTGATTTTACTGTACAAAAATTGTGCAGAAAAAAAATTAAAGTAGTAGAAGTGTCTAGGTTTTTTCGCCAAAGATTTCTCGCCCGCTTTATTTCTTATGGGGAAATCCTTGGCTAGGTTTTTTCGCCAAAGATTTCTCGCCCGCTTTATTTCTTATGGGGAAATCCTTGGCTAGGTTTTCTCGCCAAGGATTTCTCGCCCGCTTTATTTCTTATGGGAGAAGCCAAAGATTTCTCACCCACTTTATTTCTTATGGGAGAAGCCAAAGATTTCTCGCCCGCTTTATTTCTTATGGGAGAAGCCACGGATTTCTCACCCACTTTATTTCTTATGGGAGAAGCCACGGATTTCTCGCCCACTCTATTTCTTATGGGAAAAAAGACGGGTCCTCATCACACACTTCTTATGAGGAAAAAGAGGGCTCCTCGCCACATACTTTTCCTTACAGGAAAGAATACGGGTTCTCGCCACCATACATTGCCTTATGAGGGAAAAAGACGGTTAGGGCTTCTCGCCACAAGGCCTTTATAGCATGGGTATGTATTGCAAGGATATGCTGACTGCTTATAGCCGCTTTATTTCTTATGGGAGAAGCCAAAGATTTCTCGCCCGCTTTATTTCTTATGGGAGAAGCCAAAGATTTCTCGCCCGCTTTATTTCTTATGGGAGAAGCCAAAGATTTCTCGCCCGCTTTATTTCTTATGGGAGAAGCCAAAGATTTCTCGCCCGCTTTATTTCTTATGGGAGAAGCCACGGATTTCTCGCCCACTCTATTTCTTATGGGAAAAAAGACGGGTCCTCATCACACACTTCTTATGAGGAAAAAGAGGGCTCCTCGCCACATACTTTTCCTTACGGGAAAAAATACGGGTTCTCGCCACCATACATTGCCTTATGAGGGAAAAAGACGGTTAGGGCTTCTCGCCACAAGGCCTTTATAGCATGGGTATGTATTGCAAGGATATGCTGACTGCTTATAGTAACCAAAGTCTCAGATGCATTTTCATGTGTCGAAAAATAATGGCGGGACTTCTCAAATTGCCCCAAATATCTCAGTTTACCCCCGTGGCATAGATTATCCTGGTGTCTCTGATTACCCCAAATTACTAAAATTACCCAAAATCTCAAATTACCCCAACAATGTGTTTCTTATGGAAAAAAATCTTTCAGATGGGGGTACATGGGTTGAGAAGAAATGATGGCGGGACGTTTGAGACTAAATTATCAAAAATGTCTCAATTTACCCTATTTGTCTCATTTTATTCAAGTATCTCAATTTACCCCAATTGTCTCAAATTCCCCACTTATCTTAAAAACCATCAACGAATCATTTTACCTGTATATAGACAAGTAATACTCATTCAATTCTTAGTTACTCGCAGAGTCTTCAAGTTTAAAAATGCCTTTCTACTGTGTGCCCAAACATTTAGTTTGGTTGAGCATTTTTATCTTGGCATTTGATATAACGTTACTCGTAATAATCTGCTCATATTCTATAATTGAAAGTGGAAAATCAAACCAAACCTTATCTCAAGACGGTTACGAAACCGAATTGTCAGAGTACGAAATCCAAAATAAAACTGATTGCTGGGTTTGCTTGTTACATGTTCGACGATTAATAAAAACCCCGAAAATTGACTATAAAATGGCTTACAAAAATTTTGTGAACGTCACACGAGTTTAGTCCTCAGAATTGAAGAAACGTCATCATGTCGTCCTTTTATGTTCACATTGAGAGCAACTCCTCATTTTCTCACTTTCAAGATAATACGATATCAAGCTTTAGAAATTGGTTATGCTCACCAATAATTTTGGAGCCCAACTCGTACGAAGTAGCCTTGGTAGAATGTGCTTATCCATCTACACCAATTCGTTTTGGAAAGGGCGATGAATTGTACAAAGTGTTAATAAAAAGTAATGACATTAATAGCCCCGTAAATGAAAACAAAACAATTTATAATAATATTGTGTCACTTGACTTGTTTAAAAATAATACATATTCCGAGTATAAAACTCAGGATGAATGGATAACAGTTTGCAACAATACTAATATCGAAACATTTGACGATTTACTTGAAGCAATGTCTACAAAGGACTTTTTCTTTAAACATTACAACGGATATACTCTTTTATCCACTCGGACAGTTGAAGAAGATGTTATCTACGATTTTCAATTTAATACGCAAATGGCCAACATACTTGGATTCCCTCATCAAATTCATTGTAACTCAAGCTTACAAGCAGATTATAAATTCAACTTTAAATCAAATAACTCGAGATATTATATTTATTGTGACATTGTCGAAAACCAGCATGTGGGCGATACCACAGCACCAATCCTAAGATCGTTTGTAAATCCTTATACTGATATTGATAAAATTGTTTCAAAAACGTTCAACAATTTACAATATGTCTCAGTGGCAAAACCATCCATGGACTATATTCACATGTATATAAGGAACGAGTTTGGTGAACCTCCTCCATTCTCATTTGGAAGTTTTAGTGCTACACTTCATTTTAGAAGAAAACGTTTCTAAAATGTATTCAGAAAACGATTATGATGATTACTACCAAGCCTACGAACCTCAGATTGGAGGATCATTGGCTTATAAGGCAAGTTATTATCGACAAAAGGGAGCTGGTCTTGGTGGAGTTTTTGGCGCCATAACCAGTCGTTTACTACCTTTTGTAAAATCACTGTTACCACACGTTGTGCCTCCCATAAAGTCAGCAGTTAAAAATATCGCAATGGATGTTATAAATAATAAGCAATCTTTCAAAGATTCTTTGCGTTCGAATGCAATGAGTGCCTTAAAAGAGGCTGGAACGAATTTACTCAACCAGTCTGGTGGTAGGATTAGACGAAGGAGGAGAGTTCGAAAACGTCAAGCAAGAACTCGTAAACCAACAAAACGTAAAATCAAACGAAAGCCAAAACGTAAACCTCTCAAACGTTTAAAATCAAAGTCGAAAACGAAGAAGAAGAAGAAGAAATCGTCAAGACGAAAGCTTATTTCCAAACCATCCTTGTTTGATTGAGAAAATGGCTAAACCAAAGCAAATTGTTAACTTTATTCGGTCAGAGACTGATCTATTCTCTGAACCCGGCTACGACTTGACTCTTGCCAGCTCACACCGAGTTGATTATCATCCAATAACAAACATTTCAGATCGATCCACTCCTCTGACATTTATTATTCAAGGAAATGATTCACAATACATTGACTTTTCTGAAACACAACTCTATATTCGCTGCAAGATTGTAGATAGCAAGGGAGCTGATAGGGATGCTGCTCAAACTGATACTGCGCCAGTTAACAATTTTCTACATTCAATGTTTAGTCAAGTTGCTATTTATTTTAATGATACGCAAATCACTTCCCCAACTTCATTATACCCATACAAGGCTTACTTGGAGACTCTGCTATCTTTTGGCAAAGAGTATACCAAGACTCAAGCAATGGCTGCTCTGTATCACAAAGAAGCAGATCCAACCACAGGAGATGAAGGGTGGAAAACTCGAGAGAAACTGGCAAATAATAGCAAAGTGTTTGAACTGTGTGGAAAACTGAAGACGGATATATTTAACCAAAACCGATTTTGCATCCCAGGAATTGATATAAAAATTGTACTATATCGAGCACCAGACAGTTTTTGTCTGCTAAGCAAGACCTCCGGATCAGCACAAGATGCAGCACAACTTCACATTATGGAAGCTAAATTTGTTGTCCAAAAGCATACTCTACTTCCATCAATTACAATGGGACATTTAAGATTAATGGAAAAGGGTCAACCTGCATGCTATCCAATGCGAAGAGGAGACATGAAATCATTTTCCCTATCTGCCGGAACACTACAGTATACAAACGAGAGTCTAATTACGGGTCTTTTGCCAGATCGTCTTGTAGTCGGCATCGTCTCGAGTAAAGCTGTACACGGACATTACAATGAAAACCCATTTAACTTTCTTCAAGCAGATATATCAAGCATCACTGTAACCGTGAACTCTGAGCAAGTAACATCTCAAACGTTTGAACTTGATTTCGATAATAAGAAAAGTATTGAAGCGTACTTTAGCGTATTTTCGGGACTGGGTCTATCAAATCTTGACACTGGAATAGAACTAACGTTCGATATTTTTAAAACTGGAAAAACTCTCTATGTTTTTGACTTGAGACACCAACATGATGGGTTCGCCATACCAAGACATGGAAGTGTGAAAATCGAGATAAAGTTACGAAATGCAACTACGTCTGCCCTAACAGTTCTTTGTCATTGTGATTATCAATCAGTTTTGTACGTTGACAAGAATCGACATATTTACTTTAAGGACTACTCCATGTAAAAATGAACACGGATCAGATTTACCGAATTCTAGCAGGACTGTTTTGTAAAAATAAAATTACCTTTGATGTTTGTGCCTGTGATGAGTTGGATGAACTTGTTTTAGAACATTATCCTATTGCTATTGTAATCAATAACCGTCCCACTTCTCATCCAGGCGAACACTGGACATGCATGTTTTTTCAAGTAATTTTCGTGAATTTATCGAACAACATGGAACTGGTGCAATACAAAATTGTGTCCAATTACAATCTCCAAACAGTAACGTATGCGGGCACTACTCAATTTGGTTTTTATGGAAACGAGTAAATGGTTTTAGTGTAAGAAATGTGTACAGTAATTTTTCAAAGGATTATTCTAAAAATGATAGATTAGTCAAAGAATTTATAAATAACAAGATTCATTTATTAAATCAAAAATGTTGTAACAAGAAAATTCATCAAAATTCAATAAATTTTGTACGAAATTAAAATGGGTTCCACTTTTGCATTTTCCTCGTCAATTTGTTAATCCTGTGTTCGTGCACCTTCTTTTGAATCCATGCACTCTGCTTCTTTGTCTTCTTCTTCAGCTGCTTTCTTTTCAGACCACTCCCCTTCTGCTTGACAATAAATTGGTTGGTAAATTGGTGACGCTGGTTGGAAAGAGATCGGCTGAAGGGGACTTGGACTTTATAAACTGCAGCAAATTCAACATTGATGGATCCGATTTGAGAGTGGATTTTGCCGAGAATCCATGACATAATCCAACGAGAAGCGCGTTCATCTTCTTCAACGTATATGTCACATCATTTACAATAACCTTATCAGCAGTTATTTTTACACCATTTGCTTGAAGAAACTCGAGAATTTTCCGTCCCCGTCCAGTTGTGTTATTTAAAAGCACATCTAGAGTAGCACCTGAAACTTCACGTGTTGGTTTTGAAATCACTGTTGAGGGCTGTTCAGTAGCAGTTTCGTTCTCTGCATTCTTCACAAGTAGTGGCTTTTTGTCATCCTGCCTCTTGTTATCAATAAGTTATCAATAAGTTATAAATTTAAATTTTGCAAAAGCAAGATCTTTACTTCGTCAGGTATTGTAGAGTTTCCAAAAATGTTGGTTTTCTCAGCTTTCAGTTTCTCTTCAAGATCCAAGTCAACATCTTGTTGAGAATTCAACGCCAAGATTTTCTTGAACCAACTTTCTGGTACCACTTTCATTTTTCTAGCCATTTTCCAACAAGTCCACCAACTAATGTGGTTAAAATCGGAACTAGCACAGGAAGAAGCCCCCTTTTTGACACAAGTACTTCTTTTTACTTTTGATTGGTGACTTTAAACAAAGTTTTTGTATGGCAGTCTTGTGTCGCAATAATTTATTTTTCTGAGCCTTTGTCACAGGAATATTTCTGTTGTTTAGATTGAGGCAAAGTTCACAAATGGAACGAATTTGTTCTCCTGTTGCTTTATTTATAAGCAGTTTTCTGTCCTTGGGTTTGCTCCTACATAGACGATGCAAGTAAGAAGCATGGAGCTTAACACGATTTTTCGGAGCCATAATCAGTCAGAGTCCTTATCATGACTATGCCCTATATCTGCAAACGTTGGTTTTATATAGTAGTCAGTTATGATAATGGGTTCAGCAAGTGCAGCAAGGATTAAGTCCTCCTACCTAAACGTCAAGAACCCAGGCTCCTTGAGCGGACTAGGAGGTTTCATAAAGTCTGGAAAATGAAAAGAATCTCGTCGAGAAATCGAAAACGTTTTGAAAACTATTCCTGCTTATACGTTACACCGGTCTCGTAGAAAGATTTTTCCGAGACGTGTGGTATACGTAAAGCACATAAACGATCAGTGGGGAATGGACCTGATGGATGTTTCTAAATATTCAAAGACCAATTACAACACGCATTTTTTCCTTACGGCAATAGATATTTTTTCCAAGCGAGGATATATTGAACCGCTCAAAAATAAGAGTGGTCTAGTTGTAATGAAAGGTATTGAAAAGATTTTTAAAAGAAGCAAAGGACTGCCTCTTCGCATACAAGTTGATCTTGGGCGTGAGTTTTATAACGTTCATTGTAAAGAATTCCTTGAGGATCTTGGGATAAAATTGTTTTCAGTTCAGTCAGAACTCAAATCTTGCGTGGTTGAGAGGTTCAATCGCACAATTTTGGAAAAAATTCATAGATTTATGACAAACTATGAAACAACTAAATTTGTTGATCGACTATCAGATCTTGAAAACAACTACAACTCTTCATATCACAGAAGTATAAAGTGTGCACCAAAGGAAGTTAACAAGAAGAACGAGCAAATTGTGTTTGCGCGCTTATACAACAAATTAATTGGAGCAACGGATACTCGTCAAGAAAAATTCAAAGTGAATGACGTTGTCTTAATCTCAAAAGTGAAGAAAATATTCGAAAAAGGTGCTTCAGCTAATTTCAATAAAGAAAAGTTTATAGTTAACGAAATAAAAACGATATTCCCCCGTACATATATTCTTCGTGATCTTAAAGGAGACATTTTGGAAGGAGGATTCTACCGAGAAGAAATGCAAAAAATATGATGGAGTGCATAAGAGGACTAGTATCACAGATCTCTGGCATATTTGCTAGGTTCAAGTCCAATTGTTGTATTTGTGCCAAATCCTTGTGCTGTTCTTCTCAAGTTGATAATCCGAGCAACGAGAATAACTCTATAGAAGTTTTTGATATTGAGTTTGCATTATCAAGTGTTGGACGAAAGTGTGACTCGTGTAAGAAAACTACAAAACGTTATCATAACTATTTAGAGAGCCCAAATTGGATGCTTTAATGCATTCAATGCGGGATTGTATATCTAGAAACGTTTCCAGAAAAATACAAAAAGGAAGAACAGCACACTATATTATAATCAGTAATCGTTTGACGAAGCAGGACAATGGACTACCTACTTAGCCCAAGGTTATACAACAGAGGAATTCCTTTTCAGTCGAGGTTGGAGGAAGAGTCCCAAACAGAGCAAGAACGTTTCATGAAACTTAAAGCTTGGTTTAAGAAAACAAGTACAAACACAACAATAAATCTTTCCAAGGAGACGAACCGCATTGAGTTTGACATTCATGAAGTGCCTCGACTATGTGAACAATTGCTAACGTTTTACATGAAAAATGGAGGAAACGTTTTGTCTGCACTCACACTACGTTCTGAAATAACACGACTAATACAGGAGCACAACGAAAGAGAAGTTGAAGACTTGAAAAGATTCTCCATCGCACTACCGACCTTTTACGAAACGGACGATAAAAGATCCATAACCCCTCCAATGTTGTATTCACAGCCAATCGATGCTGTTGACCACTATTACAATAGCATTGGTGGAAAAACGTCTCCTCCACTATAAGAAGCGAGTGAATTTTTCAGTCGTCAGTACAGTCTTTACTCTACTTTCACAAAGTAATCATCAAGTTTGTAAACCCAACCAAGTTTTCGAAAATCATTATGGCTACAAAACAATCCAACATTTCGGGAATTGTCCCACCCCCAAATTCCCCTGCTTCCCCAAACCAAGAAGAGAAGGGCAACCCCACTTTTCCGACGTCTGCTGCAACCCCAAGTGCCAACCCCACCCAATCTTCTGCAACCCGAGCTGACAAGCGAGAATTGGAAACCTCTACTCTTGCAACCGACGACAAGAAAATAAAGATTGAAGATGATCGGATCATCCAATGTATTCTCGTGTATTCTAACGAGTTACTTGAAAAGATCCAAATTGTAATTGAAAGAAAGAAAAAGTGCATCTACTTGGATCTGCCAACCTGTTTCTACGTGATTAAACGACTCGTTGGAGCAATGCACAAGGATCCTGCTATACGAGTCCAACTGAGTACGCTTTGCATGCAGATGTACCAAGAGTTCCCTTTCTTTGCGAGCCGAATGCTCTACGAAGAGGCTGAAGAACATGGATTCAAAGAAAGCAAGCTTGCGTATAGAAGTGAGAATCCAGCCATTTGGGTAAGCCCCTTCAATGACGACTACTATGTGTTTATCAAGCAAGAAGGAGTGTCCGTTAATCTCAAACTTGACGATTCATGGGATGTTATCCACAAAATTGTCAAGGCTGCATTCCCTCTCGTGGTTGGCGATGAGGGTCGATACATTGCATTTTTCCAATGCTTTGAACGATTTTTAAGCGAAATCCTGTACGCCTGTGAAGATCTCCACATGGCAAACACCTACGAAAGATTGAAAGGTGAAATGATGAAGCTTGGATTCAACGAAGTTCGAGAGGGAGCCACGCCCAAGTTTTATGTTATGAATAACTGGGTTAGTGTTTCAATTCCCGACTTTAACCAAGCCAAAGATGAAGATGAAGAAGATGAAGAAAGAAAAGTGCTGGGTTGTGAAATCCAAACTGATATCCTGCTCAACCCATGGCTGTTGAATTTATACGAACATCCGTTGCAGAATTATGGCATTATCTCACCAGCCGAAATGTGTGCCAAGAAGAGGATGTTGCGTGAAATTCGAAAACGTACAAAACCAACCAAGCCCAAGTTTGACATAATGATGATGGCTGAGTACTATGAGACGTCTGGATGGACACCAGTTGCGGAAGATGACTGGGCAGACATAGCCGAGAAAGAGGGGGTCTACGTTTTTGGGATTGACGAAACGGGGCAGATTTGGCAAAAGTTTCGTACTGAAGCAAATCAAGACGTAAAGATTTGGGAAGGAGTTTTGGAGGAGCTATGCAAACCCAAGGATGGCGAGGAAGAACCAAATGACAAGACCATTACAGATGGGAAGGACGCAAAGCCATGCATGCATCCCCATCACCAATTTCGTGGTAACTGGCCAGCAAAATACTTTGAGTTGCGAAAATGGAAACGGGTAGCAAAGTATGGTGATTTTCCACCCAATACCAATGGAAAGCGGAAGAACGCCTGGCTGGTGGATTCAGAGGGGCAGACATGGATGAAGGACTATGTAGATTTAGGTGAAGTTACGGTTCCAGTTTTTTTCGTTCCAGAAAAATG